GAGCAGGGAGCCCGATGCGGGACTCGATCCCGGGACTCCAGGATCATGACCTGAGCCGAAGGCAGTTGCTTAACCAACTGAGCCACCCAGGCGCCCTTTAACTCTTTGTTGTAAAGAGTTAACTGTTGTACTGAAAAATTTTCTATGGAAAGTGAAAAACAATAAAATCACTGTCTGCCTACTAACCTGACATTGCTTTCAAATGTCCCAAATCCTAAAGTGTTCCTGTATGTATTCTGGACACAAGTTTGGTAAATAGGGCATGGTCATTTTCAGCGATACTTATGGAAAGCCAAATGTCTCCATAAGCTCTTAAGTTGAATATGGGATAGAAGGAGCAATACTTTCTTTTAATTCATTGCTTTAAACAAACATAGGTTACAGATGCTGAGATACACATCTCTATGGATGAATAATGCTGAGGCAGGATAATACCCACCATTTGTTATACCAGAATCCGTGAAAACCTCCAACTGAAATATTTTTTTTAACTTGTGATCATGCATATCCACATTGGCTTAAAGTTAATACCCTCCCTGGGGCAGGATGAAACTTTTGTTTATGATGAACATTTAAACTTCAGTACACATATACAATGGAATATTACTCAGCCATAAAAAGAATGAAATCTTGCCATTTGCAACGATGTGGATGGAGCTAGAGAGTATTACGCCAAGCAAAATAAGTCAGAGAAAGAGAAATACCATATGATTTCATTCGTATGTGGAATTTACGAAACAAGACAAATAAGCAAAGGGAAAAAAAGAGAGAGGCAAAGCAAAAAACAGACTCTTTAAAAGAGCGAATAGCCTATGGTTACCAGAGGGGAGGTGGGTGGGGGATGGGCAGAATGGGTGATGGGGATTAAGGAGGGCACTTGTGATCAGCACCAGGTGTTGTATGGAAGTGTTGAATCACTATACTGTATACCTGAAATTAATACACTGTATGTTAACTTGCTGGAATTTAAATAAAAACCTAAAAAAAAAAAGTTAAGTCAAACCTCAGGCTAACGTTAGGTTCAATATTAAGCCATTACATATACTGTTTGGTACTTAAGAGGAAAACTAAAGTCGCAGGGACATGCGGTATTTGTGTATTTGTAGAGTGATAGTGTCCCAGATTTGAAAGGGGTCCACTATGTGCTTAAGTTGATTTAAGCTGAACCAGGAGGCTAGGTGAATGTCAAGTTTGCCTGGAGGGTTCGGATTGAAGTCAGATTATCATTTAGACAGTTCTTTTCTTTCAAATTCATCGCGGTGCTCAAGCATGAACTTGTATTATACATTCCACAGATCTTGACCGACCGAGCGAAGAAGTTTTCTCTCGAGACCTTTCCGATTTTCCATCGGTAGAAAATGGCACGGGAACAAATGATGAAGATGAATTCAGCCTTGGCTTGCCCACTGAGCAAAGGAGAAAAAAAGAGCAGTTGGACAGCAGTCTCAGAGCGAGCGGAGAGAGGCAGTCAGCAGCTGGTCTCACCCTTCCTTTGAGCAGTGACCAAACCTTTCACTTGATGCGCAACCTGGCTGGGGACGCCATTGCGGCCGCAGTGACAGCAGCCATCAAAGAGCAGTTGGAGGGCGCGCAGCAAGCCCTTTCTCAGGCTGCCCCCAGCCCAGGCGACGACACAGACCCTGAGGAAGGTGATGACTTTGAACTACTTGACCAGTCAGAGCTTGATCAAATTGAGAGTGAATTGGGACTTTCACAAGACCAAGAAGCAGAAGCACAGCAAAATAAGAAGTCTTCGGGCTTCCTTTCAAATCTACTTGGAGGCCCTTAGTCTGGGAATCAACTTGTTCAACACAGCACAGATGAAACTACCAAAAAAATTCAAACAAGCAAAAAAAAAAAAAAAAAGAAAAAAGGAAAAAAATTTTTGAACTGTGAGCTTTACTGATTACTTCAGATTTTTTTTTCTTATTTTCCCTTCTGCAGTGAATTAATTGGATATATATCAGCTGATACTGATATTTCCTATAGTTATTTTTATGTAATATGCATGGAAATGAACTTTATATACATATATATACATAACTGTGTTGTCAGAGATGAATATTAGAGGTTGTTTTTAAAGCAAAAACACCAAATTTGGGGATCCTCCTATAAGTATTCCTTATTTTTTTCTTTACAATTAATTTTTCAAGCATGCAAAAGCAGTTTATTGTAACTCACTGATATAGTAACAATTAGTTGTGAATACAAGGAGTATCAGCTCCTTTGTTACTGATACTTGGAAACAGTTAAAACATTTTGGTAGATTCTGATGTAAAAAAAAAAAAAACACCAAAAATTATCAAGGTATCTTTAGTTGAAGGACTTGGGAAGTATTATCAAAATTAATTTCCTAGGAAAAATTTTTAAAATAGATTTAACTACTCTGGATAGGCTGATACATTTCCATGTTACTTCTGCAGTTATAGACTTAGGCTTACCTGTAGTAAATGGCATGCTCCATGGACTGCCAGCTCTGGTCTTGGCAATGGGTGATATTAACCCATAGAAAGCAAGTAATTATATATCACATAGACAGTGGTTTTGACGTAAACAGAGACTGGGCTGTGTTTTGTTGTTCAACTGTCATATATTTGTAATAGAGATGTTGTAAAGTGCGGGTCTATTCTGCCTGCTCAGACCTAAGTTAAACCCTCATCTTTCATGTTATGTCATAGAAAACGTCTCTTAGGGTTTGGAAACTAGTCCCTGGTATGTTCTAGGAGTGATGCTGTCATCAGCAGTAGAAAAACAGTGACTGTTGTCGTGGTCTGTAGAGAGTCTCCAACGGGAGAAATTTGCTTGGCTTTAAGGTGTTTTTATTTGTTCCTGAAGTCTAAATATGTCATCTGTTTCTACTGGGAAGCCAGAATATATTTTTCCTTTATTTTAAACTTTTTAGATCACCTTCAAATAACCAAATTTGACTTAGGCTTTTAACAAAGGGTTTAGCAGAAATCAAGCCAATTTTGTTTTTGTGATACAAACTTTTAATAGTGTTGAGGGACCATGTCAGCCAACTACCAACAATCCCTTCAATCTTCAGGTACAGCTGGCATTTCTACAGATGTGTACAGACATCTGAGACCCTCAGAAAGGAAGGATAATCCAAGAATATAGGGAATCTGTGGTCCCTTCCCTTCATTTTATTCCTTTCCTTATATTTCTAAAAGACTATAGATAATCTGATGTTTTAACTTGGCATCTCTTATTTATTTTTTCTTTCTGAGGTATTAAAATATCTAGACTGGATTTTGCCAAATGTTAAAGGGAGAAAAGTTATCGAGGACTTTGAACACTTGCTTTTTGTGAGTTGACTATGCTTAATATGTCATTAGTGCCTCATGACTGTGTTTGATGTCCTTTATTGATACAAAGTGAGCCTGTGCCTTCATTTTCTTGCCCATTTTGGTACAAAAACCTGGTGTTAGATCTATGAACTGTGTGGGTTAGGGAGGAATATACCTGAATTCCATTCAATACAAGTTTCTGGATGTAAAGAAAAATACAGTCACATATTTATAAAATAGTTGTCACCAGGATTCTTTTTTTTTTTTTTTTTTATGTGTATGCTTCTGCTTTTAAAAAATGTTCTTGGCCATGAAGTCAAAAAGTTTACAGGTCATTTCAATTTTTTCATTGAGGGGAAAACAAGAAGTTGATCCAAGTAACTAAAGAATGTGTTAAAAGTCACTGGACAAGCTTACAAAAAGATAAACTCAAGAGTTGGTGGTAGGAACAATAAAGCAAGGATCAAATATTACCAACTATAAATTAAAAATGGTTTGGGGATGGCGAGGTTGTTAGGGTAGAAAAATGTGTTACTAGCAATATGGAGGAGACGTACCAGCTCTCTATGGATAGTAGCATTATAACCATACATGTACTTCAGTATTTACTCAAGAACATATGTCATTACAGATTTACGTAATGCAATAGCAGTACTCAATTCAGACAAACAGGGATGTTGAGGATGATTGTGTGTGTCTGTGTGTGTGTTGGTGGATATACTGTATATAATTCTATTTCTGGTTTTAAGATAGAGTAACAATAAACCCCAATGATTGATCCAGTACAGAGGGGGACTATATATCCCTTACCATGAGAATGTATGCATTCATTAAAGTGTGAAACATGGATTTTTTTTTTAATTGTAAACGAGGTATAGAAAATATTTTGCTCTCTTCCTATAGAAAATGCTGAGCAAAATGAGACAATGGGAATAGCATACATTGATCATGCATTTTGACCTGAAACAATAAAGCAGGGCTCAAGAAGTTCAAGCTTGCTTTGGAAGGTCAATCCAGGCTTAAAGCGGTGTTTATATTCTCATTCTGAATCATCATTGCTTTTCTTACCCTAAAAATCTTCAAAAGTGATTTTTAAAAAACTGCCCCCCCCCATGTAGTAGAATACTAGGAAAACAAATATTTATAAGGCTTTGCAATTGGCAAACATCCTCAACATATTTAGGCATCTCTTATATTTGAAATAAGTGCAACTTTTTTTTCCTGTAAAAATAGCAAATTCCAGTATACTACTGATTTTAGGCAAGAAGCAAATTAAGCAAATTCTTACATTTAAGAAATAAGTGACTTAAACATTTTCCTTTTCTGTTTATAATTTAGGTTGATGTAGTTCTTTATACTGCTCCAGCTATATTAGTTACAAGATAGGAAATTATTCTGAAAACCCCTTACTAAACTACTGTTGTCCTAGGTCATTTGTATCATGATGAAGTTAGAAAGTCTCAGAACTATATTTTTGGGTATTATTCCTCCATTTCCACTGCAGCATTTAAGTTAGGATGGGATGTCATAAATATGAGTTCTAGTTCTGATGTTAATATTATGGCCTCCTAAGATACAATGTTAAAGTCACATAACATCCCCAGAATATCACTTCAATTTCCCCAAACATAAAATTAGGAAACTATTCTCTCACACAGGGATGTCTTTAGAGGGAATGGAAAAAAGTGTCTGAAGGTCTTTCAGGAGAAAAAAAGGCTATATATAACCAAGATAGTGATTTTTTTTCCCCTGCCTGTGTTTCAACTAAGCCATCTTTTCAAACATTAAAACAAAGCCAGTCAACAAGTACCTGCTTATAAGAAAACTCTAAAGTTCTTTCAGTGGGACTAGCACTATATTGGCCTCATAATCCAATAAATGCTGTGGAATAAAAAGATGAAAACGGTTGCAAAAAGGCCTATATTTTTAGTTAAAATGTTTTAAAATTGTTTATTGAAAATCATAATTCTTTACTTAACTTTTTTTATGAACACAGAATTCAAAGAAGTAAACCATTTAATAAATGTTAGTTATATATTCTTGGTCACGCCCCCAAAAGTTAATCCCAACCAAGCCTTTTAAGTTTTCCTTTCAAAAACCAAGTTGCTGGGGCGCTGGGTGGCTCAGTCATTAAGCGTCTGCCTTTGGCTCAGGTCATGATCCCAGGGTCCTGGGATGGAGCCCCGCATCGACCCCGCATCGGGCTCCCTGCTCGGTGGGAAGCCTGCTTCTCCCTCTCCCACTCTCCCTGCTTGTGTTCCCTCTCTCGCTGTGTCTCTCTCTGTCAAATAAATAAAAAAATCTTAAAAAAAGAAAAACAAAAACAAGTTGCTACTGCGATATAGGTATGTGAAAAGTAGTAAGCCTATCACAAGAGACTACTGTATATCAATACCAGTATCTCAACTGACTTGAAGATGAGCTTATTTCCTCTTATTTTAAACTTTGTAATAATCAAAAATCAACATCCCAACATCTTTTAGGATTGAAAAGGAACCACATCTTCACGGATACTGTCACTTTTATAGTGTGTAACATAACTTCAGTAGTTCGGCAATTAAGTGAACTATCTTAAGGGCTATGTCACAGTATCCAGAAAAAAATTCTAATTTTTAATATTTTCAAATCTAAATTTTTTACATGGGCAGTCTCAGTTTAAATTCTTCAGTAAAATGATTAATTTGGTAAGAAACATTTTTTATAGCATTGTCAGCAGAGATTAGACACATTAATTTAATACTCCGAATATACTGCAGAGAAGTTTAACACAAGGTCCCTTGGTCAGTCATCTTGCATTTACCAAGGAGCTATTGGCTATAGACCTGCTCCTTTCTAGTGTTTTTCCAATCCATTCCAGATACTGCTGCTGGACCTCAAGGACCACTCCTATTCCTTACGCCCATTTAAACTGAAACTCTTTGACTTCCTACTGTTTACCAAATGAAGAATGAACAACAAAGTGTAGAATTCAACCCTTTACCCAATACTTTAATCCTCCCTAGTCTTATTTTGTCTTTACCTGTATCTTATGCTTCAACACAAACTAGACTTCTGTTCTTCCTAAATATGTCCCTTAGTTTCCTCCCTCCCTAGTATTTCTTCTACCTTCCACCTCCCTCCTTCACTTGCAGATGAAGTCCACCATCTTCTCCCTCTTTCACCACCCATCTGAAATGTCAGCTCCTTAATGAAAACTTTTCGGATCTACTTGGATAAGATTTCTCTATTCTAAATACCCATTGCACCTTTATATTTTGTTGTACATGACCCAGTCTGTAATGTGTTCGTTGTGTATTTCTTACCATCCTTATCAAATTATAAGAAACTCCTTGAGGGTAGAGATGTCTTAATTTAAAACTAGTAGAGTGTTTTAAAGGATAGTGTGATGTGATTCATAATAAATATACACTTGGTCTTTGTCCATTCCTGGCACAGAGCTCACAAAAAAATCAAAGTGTTAAGAGGATAACAGTGTTTTGGGTTATGTTAATGAAGTGACTTTTGGAAAGCCCATAGATGACCTACGGATGAGAGCTGCTTGCCATGGGACCTAACGATGTGATTAGAGGGTTGCAATTTTCAGTCCCACCCCCTCACACCTCTGGGGAGGAGAAAGGAGCTGGAGGTTGAGTTCAATCACCAAAGATTTAATCAATCATGCCGATGTAATGAAACCGCCATAAAACCTCAAAAGAATGGGGTTCAGAGAACTTTTAGGTCAGTGAACCATAACAAATCCATGTGCCAGGTGGGTGGTGCACCCCAAACTCCATGGGAACAGAAGCTCCTGTGTTTGGGACCCTTCTGGACCTCACCCCATGTATCTCTTCATCTGGCTATTGATCTGTATCCTTTAATATCCTTTGTAATAAACCAGTAATCTAGTAAGTAAACTGGTTTCCTGAGTTTTGTGAGCTACTCTAGCAAATAAATCAAACCAGAGAGGGTTGTCCAGCTTATAGCCAGTTGGTCAGAAGCACAGGTAACAACCTGGACCTGCTATTGGCATCTGAAGTGGGGTCAGTCTTGTGGGACGGAGCCCTTAGCCTGTGGGATCTGACCCTGTCTCCACGTAGATAGTGTCAGAGTTGAGCTGACTTGTAGGACTCCCAGCTGGTGTCTGAGAATTGCTTGGTGGTGTGGAAAAAACACACATATTGGAGATTGGTAGCATGGGGGACAGGAAGTGGGAGATACTGAAAGCCAGGCAAAGGACTTTAAACTGCATTCTCTGGGCAACTGACACCATTCTTGAACATAAACAGTGACCTATGAGGCAAAATGGCTTAGAAAAATTAGTCTGATGATCCGTATGTACTTAGTGCAGACCAAGAAGACAGAGGAAGGCTACCTAGAAGACTGCAGAAGAAGAGCAGTACATTGGGAAGTATGGAGAAAACAACGGCCCTGGGAAGAGGAAAAGTAAAGAGAGTTTTGAACTTTGAAGGGTTCAAAGATGCTGACATGGGAGGGTCATGAAAATGAATTGAAGGAGGCAAGGAGGAAATAGCACACGAAGAATGAATAGATGCTGGAAGACTCATAGAAGAATAAGAAAAAAGAAAACCAAAATTTCTTTATATAGCCATATTTGCTTTCCTTTTTAGAGAAGCTTGAACATATACATTGTTTTTGCTTATCCCCATTGATGACTAGTACTAGGTACATTTCTTAAAGTGGGTACCCTCTCCAGAGGGCTTACCTATTTTAAAAGATTTTGATCATCTCAAAAGCAAGTTGTCTGAAATAAAAATCACCCTCAGACAACTTTTGCGGTAAAAAAATTATTTTCAAATACTGAACAATCTATGTGCCAGCACTGTTCTAGCACTGGGGTATAGAGCAATGAAAGGAGTCTGGTTTGCCCAGGATGGTTGGGTTTCCCGGGATATGGGACTTCAAGGGTTAAAAACTGGGAAATCACTGACAAAACAACAAATGCTAGTGGTAGCCAATCTCCCATAATGTTCCTCAGACACCCCATTCATGCCCCTGTGTAGTCCCCTCCCACATTAAATAGGGCTGACATTCATAAGTAATAGCACATTGTAGAAATGACTGTGTATGACTTCCAAGGCTAGGTCATAAAAGACATAGTGGCTTTCACTTTGCTCTTTCTGGGGAAACCAGCTGCCATGTTAGGAGGACAATCAAGTGGCTCTATGGAACAGTCCACCTGGTGAGGAACCAAATCTCTTGCCATCAGCATGTCAATGAGCCATCTTCCAAGCGATCCTCCAGCCAGTCGAACCTTCACATGACTTGAGTCCTGGTCCTCATGTTACTGCAACTTCTTGAGACCCTGAGCCACTCAAATTTCTGACTTACAGGAATTTTCCAGGCTTGTTGTTTTAAGCTGCTAGATTTGGGGGTAATTTGATATGGAGTAATGATAATACAGTGCTATAGAGAAAAGTTATGCTTAATAAAGAGTTAAGAGTTTGGGCATAGGCAGTATTTTTGACAAGAGGCTATGGATAGGCCTCTCTTATAAAGGCATTTGGGCAGGAACCTTAAAAGTAAGGGAGCAAGCCAGCAAAAGAACTTTTCAGAGATGGATTAAAGGATTTCTAAGACTTACTAGCAACAATAGATGCTTGTTTAGCCTTATTTAAACAGGAACATAAAAAGGGTCTGAAATGTGACAAAAATGTGACTGAAGTGGGGTAAACAAAGTGGGGAAGGGAGTGTGGCAGGAGATCACAGGTAGGTGTAGGGGTGATGGCAGATCATACAGAGCCTTCCGGAATAAAGAGTAAATATCTCAGTCTGTTCCCGCTGCTGTAACAAAATACCACAGACTGCGTGGCTTATAAGCAACAAAATAGTATCTCTTCTGGAGGCTGGAAGTCCAAGATCAGGGTGCCAGCATGCTCCAGCGAGAGCCCTCTTCCTACTCACAGACTTCTCATTGTAACCCTCGCGGGGGT